CTGTGAAGTTTGTTTGTTTTTCTTCAATGTTTATTTTTTTACCCATACCCATCAATAAGTATGGGCACCACATCACAAACACGTTTGTTTGTTGTGTTTGTGATGTGGTGTTTGTATTTTATGGACTTTGAGTCTGACAAATAAAGATAATAATAATAATAGTAATGGAAGGTAGATACACAATACATCTACACAAGAGGAGTATTCTGACTAAAAACCCTTCTAAAGGATGAGAATTCTGCTCACGTCTGCTTTAACAAACTATACTACCCATCAGCTTGTCGAATACTTACAATACAATACAATACAATTTATTCTTGTATAGCCCTAGGTCACAACAGAAGTCATCTCAGAGGACTTAACAAAACCATTGAAATCACCAACACAGGTCAGAGAATCAACAGTTAAAACACATGAAGAATATAAAGCACACACAGAAGAAAATGTCCATACATGTTGTAGAATGTTAAAGTGTCCTGATCATCACCAATCCTTTCTGTTGGACACTAACTGTCCAACAAGACCCTCCTGCATCGTCAAGGAAAAACTCTTAAAAAACCCAGTGGGAAAAAGTGAGAAACCTTAAAATGTAACAAAAAACAAATTGCATTTAAAAAGAAAAAAGAAGCAAAATCATATCATCAGGACAATAACAGCATTAACTTCTGCTATTATAACCCAACATACATAAAATCCCTTGCAACATTTCTTTCCAATATCCCTGTGTCTGTTTCCTTTCTGAAATAGACACAGACATGAGGATGTTTGCTCACCTGATCACACCAACACTGACAGGACATGCATCTTGTCACATTCCCTTTGAAAGCCCCTGATCCCCACACGGCCCATTATCTGAGATTTTAATAAGGCCATCTAATTAATATTTATAGTGTAATCGCCTTATTTTCCAGAGGAAGAGGCAACAAGGCTAAAACACTGTTGTTAATTAAGACAAACGCATTAATTATTAAAGATGCAAACATGTCAAGCAAGCATAACTAATTATTCTAGTGTGTTAACAGTTGTTTAATGTTAGCAAGCAACTGAATTATTCAGAACATCCACCGCCATGTTTGGATTGTTTGAAATCCGCTGTGGTAAGTGGGGTGTGGGAGGCGGCGGGTTCCAAGGGACGCAGTGGAGAACAGGAACAAAACTCACACAGATGGGCCCACACCTAACTTTAATTGCTCATTACAGGTGAGTGCAGATGATACGCAGAGAGGTAAAGGGACTGACATGGTTCATTTAATGCATGACTAACTTGACAGCTTTTGGTCAAGGCGAGAGAAGCATTTTTTTGTTGAGGTTTTGTAATTTTTTTTTGCGACTGTTGAGGGGAGGTGTCAGAGAATGAAGGTAACTGGATGTGATTGGACAATTTATGTTGTTATGTCTTAATTGTCGTCTGATGTGCGCGCAATCTGGACCGCTGTCAGAAAAGGAGACGCTTCCTCTCAGTGGTGTGATGGTAAGGAGTATGGAGGCGGGCAGGTTTGATCCAATCACAATTATGATTGGGCAATGTTGATGTCTTGAAATAAAAAACTACATTATGCAGGATTTATTTATTTTTTGATAACTGCTCAAATAAGGTTCAGGGCATCGGGACAAAACGCACAAACGTCCATGACACAGATACTCCCTATAATAACAGACAAAGAGGAAACAAAAAACTATGCCTGGATTTCAAACTATTTAAGAATAAATGTGTATCTCAGTGTGTTGAGCTACTGCTGGGAATGGATAGCACTTAAAGGCTGTATAAAATAAGTACTTTTACACACTATTGTTCTGGGTTCAAATCCCAGTCGGACCACAGCCTTTCTGAGTGGAGTTTGCATGTTCTCCCCGTGTCTGCGTAGGTTTCCTCCGGGTACTCCCGTTTCCCCTACCACTAAAAATATGTACAATAGGTCTGGCATGCGCCTCCTGTACTGGCGACCCCGCTCCCATCTCTGTGTGGAGTGAGAGGACAAATGCCCAAAAAATAACAAATGTAAACCGCTTTGTGACTCTGTCTGTGAAAGGCGGTATATAAATAAACATTACTTACTTACTTACTTACTAGAGTCACAAAGCATGGGCCTTTGTCTTCTTGCACAGAGATGGGAGCGAGGTCGGCATACAGCAGACACGGAGAGAACATGAAAACTCCACAAGTGAAAACCACTGCGCCACTGTGCCGCCCAGTAGGTAGAGGATAGAGAGTGATGCCTTGAGGATAGAGCGAGTGGTGGGGGATGGGTGTTGGGTCAGAGTTTGGGACCGGTGTCTATTATGTATATTTTCTACTGTTGTTTTTTTAGTGTTTTTTGCACAATTTTTGGGATTCTCGTTCTTAGTTTACAGAGCTAGAGTATTGGTCCCTTTCATTTTATTGTTTCTTAATCCTCCACTTGAGATAATATTCGGCCTAGAAATATTTTATTTTACTTCTGAGTTTTCATGGGTTTTTAATTAAAGATCAACATATTCTTAAAGGCCCTGTCCCAATGATTACAATCACATGCTCAAATGCAGATGAAGATTACAGCCCAAACTTCATCCCATTCTTAGCATCCTAATGATTCTCCAATATAGGTTTATAACAGCTTTTTTACAAACAGTTGGGCCTTCAGCGACAGTCCAATCAAGTCATTCTGAGATAAATCCAGACCAGCTTATGCTCCAAACTACAAAAAAATGCTTTTGAAAAAGTTCCCATATCATATTGCAAAATCCTTTTCAGAAACACAGCATACTTCTCCAAACCATCAGGCAAAATCTCTATCTTCACACAAGTCCAATCAGCGTTTTAATTGAAATCACTGCGGTACTGATGTTTTTTGCCCATAAACACTGTCATATGAAAATTGTCAATTAGTGGCGAGCTGAAAAGGCTGTCAGTTCTGATCATTCTGCGGCTGTTGTTCCCCACTTCACATTCACTTATACAGCAATATGATATCTGTCAAGGCTGATGCTTTGGGTAGAGGTAATTACACCTAGCTCAATGTAATCATTATGATGGAAATGATGGTATAAGTATCCATATGCCCTGTGTCACTCCAGATATGTCTAAGCCTGCATATTAAAACGCAAACAAGATCGGATGGTAAATTTGTGAGGATTGGTTTCGGTTATTAGATAAAAGCATGGCTAAACTGTTGATGTCTTCTGGAATTATTTGTGTCTAAATATTGCCTTGCCAGCTCAAACAATCAGGTTGGTGTAAGGTGTGGCAATGGAACCTAAAAGCAGACAGTAGTCATTTCAAAAAAAAAAGTATGTAATAACAAAAATAGGTTTCAGTTCCATGTGGCTGCAGGTTTTTATTCCAATCAAACAGAAGCACACCGGACTCCATCCATTCCCTCAAATCTTAAGGTTAAGACCGAACTCACTTGAGGAGTCTGGTGTGCTCCTGCTTGGTTGGAAATAAAACCTGCAACGACACCGGCCCTTTGAGGACCAGTTTGACACCTCTTTTACTACACTTCTCTGTACTAAAATCTGGCACAGAGGAGCCGGCTTTTGAGGCGATGGTACTTGATTTAAGAGTGGAGATAGCCACGCAGAATCAGGGGAAGCTCCCACACACGCAAGTAGGGGAGGGGACAGAGACTCCAGGAGTGAGGGTTGGGCTACTGCAGGAGGAGCACCTGTGTGATCGAGTGCCAGTGTACTGTATATTAGTACATGCTTTACCAAAGGAATACACAAGTGAACGCACTATGAACGCAGTATGAATTGGATCCACATTGGCATTGGTCATATGGATAAGTTGCGATGAAGATACTTGTATTCATCGCTTGTTGTCAAAAGACTTGTATTTAAACTTCCCAATCAATGTTAGCCCTCTGCATGGAAAAGTACTCTTTACTCCTTGGAACTTATTGGTCTGTGTGAATCATCGCTAAATATTACGCAGTTAAATCACAGCATTTTGTATTAGATATATTCCTGATGTATTGTAGTGTGATTTCATGAATGTAATCTTTATTAACAACAGATGTTTGGACAGATCATTCCTGTATGCACCTGTCATCCACAGTTAATGCACCGCACACTTATACATCCACATCTGTTGTGCATCCGCGTTTAATGACCAGACTCTAAACCTTTTTTTTTTTAACAGTCCATTTTAACACTATACAGTATCTATAGTCTGTGCATTGCTATTCATCTGTTTTCCCTCTGTCTGTGCCATGAATGCACTGATGGGACTCTAAACCCTGGACTCCCTGGACTTGAGGACTATTCCCTGGCTTGCCAAAGGGAGTTGGCTGTTCTATGACGCCCCTCGAGACGACTGTTGTTTCCGGGTGTTACAAATACTTGATTTATCCATAGCCAAGTTTATATCCAACCCTTGAGCTATCAACAAATTATCACAAAAATAGGTCAAACAATTACAAGAATTCTTTAGTCTCATATAAACTGCACACAAGTGACTCCCTGAACTACTCTCTAGACATGGGGCCAAGATTATGTACGCTTCCACCAGGGTCGGGTTTGGGTATGTTTGGCTCACGCTAGTCTTGCCTCTTGCCTGCACCTGAACAACGTTTATTGAATCACCCCTCCTTTGCTAGCATCGCAAAAGTCGTTCACTGCTCTCCTGAAGACGTGCGGGATATCATGTCACTTGTGCTCAGTGAAAATAATGGTTCATTCAACAACATGATTTTCCATTACGTAATCTCTGAAAATGTAAAAAAAAAAACCTCTAAAACTCTATACAGTGCTACTAAACATAATACCGCGTTTTAGGCTTTACATCAGCAGCTTTCTATTGTGGATCTATACAATGTCTCTGTACAAAGAGCAATAGAAAATCCTGACATTGGGCTTGATGATGAATCGCCGGATTGTGACTGATGGACTATAGGCTCATTTCTGCCCATATTTCTCTGTACATCATCAAGGTCACAGGTAAACACAAACTTTTCCCAGTGCTCCCTCTTTTGTCCTTCCACCGTCCCTGCGTCCCACCCTCTCCGCCTGCTGATGGCCCCATGAATCATCCCGTCTTCCCCATCGAACCCTGCGACGCCTCCTGCCCACCAGCTCCGAGCTCGCCTCCCCAATCCTTCTTCATTCCCGCTAACAATTTGGTAATGAAATATTGATTTTTAGTTAGATTCAAATGGATGTTATTAACTTTGCATTGATAAATCGTTCCCCCTTTTCCTTCTTCTTCCCAGTGCCCTCTCTGTTTTGGAAAGTGTTGGTACGAACACCTGATTCACAATAAAAAGATTTAGTCGACGACCTACAGTGCTTATTCTAGAGGCCGCACCTCAGGACTATTCCTCTACCACACACACAGACTGGCTGCTTGTATTAAGAGCTGTGAATATATACTGATTACCCACTGTGGACAATGACAATGGCTTCTACCACAATATTGAATGTAGCGAACTCAGATGAAGTGGCCTTTTCAGAGTGAGTCATGCATGGCATTGCAATGTCCTCTGTGGATACAGACAGACAATTACTCTATCACAACACAACTATTTGCTGCTTTGCCTTTTGTTAAAATGAGAACTGATCACTGCAATTTTGGCCACTATGAAGAAGATTCTGCTCAGAAGAGATTGCCTTTGGATTGCAGCCAATAATGTAAGGATTATATATACTGTGGATCATTACAAAGTGGAATTACTTTGCTCTACTATGCAACAAATATTAGCCCTCTAAAGCCATCCCATAAATTGTATCGTATAGCATCATGATGTTTGTCAGTGAAAGGTTGGTCGATGTTTAGAGGGAGGGGATTACGAAATGCATGGGTGCAATCATTCCAGTGCCAAAGTTTTTGAATATTTTTGGAAGTTGTATTATATAAAGGTATAAAGGAGGATTTTCTACTTCCGGGTGGTTCATCAAGACTATTGGTCCTCCCAATTGTCAATCATTCTGGTGATACGCAGTGTTGGGCACGTTACTTTGAAAAAGTAATTAGTTATAGTTACTAGTTACTTCTCCCAAAAAGTAACTGAGTTACTAACGGAGTTACTCCACTATAAAAGTAACTAGTTACCAGTAAAAGTAACTATTGCGTTACTTTTTCGTTTTGTTCTGGAACATAATGTGCACCCGACGTGCGCATTTTTACCTTTAACAGTGCCAATATTTCCATCTAGAAAAGGCTGTTTTGCTGCTGAAGTCCTGTTCACTCTTCATCTCTCTCTGTGCACTAAGCACTAAACACCAACACCAGCCACTGTGAATGTGGAAACACCGGTGACGAGCGGTGAGGCTGGTGAAGAACTGACTTCAGTCCAATCAGATGAACATATACATCATATAAATCAAGTGGACAATTTGTTTGGCTACAGCAAAATATGTTTTATGCCCGCATTGTTTGTTCATACAAAACGCAAAACTATGAGTTATGGGTCTTACCTTATAGGTATACCTTATAAATGACCTGCACAGTCCACTTCGGTTCAGACCAGTTCCTTGTTTAAATCCAGTTAATGGTTTGAGCGTAGATATGTAATCCTCCATTTGGAAATGAGTCCAATGAGTTTTAAAAAGTAAAACAAAACGCGTGTGTCCTCCATAAACTCCTGTGTTTTGCTAGCGGCAGCCGAGTGCATCCAATTTCTAAAATCAACCGTCTTACACTTCACCTCTCTTTCTTATCATTCCTATAGTAATTGAAAAATTACCCTATGTGCATTTTAGATTATGTAAAAATGTGTTATATGTATGTTAGCCAAACCTGTTGCTGCCCGTAGCAGATAAACCAGGAAGAGCAAGGAGCTTATCGATGGAATTGTATGCAGCCGACTTCTGCGCTCACATGCGCTACTCTGTGGCTGACCTCACGGTGATACAAGCCGTGGTTGAGCGCGATTAAGACCCATATTTGTTTCAAAAACACAATTTATGAGCATCCTCTCAACTGTAGACATGTGGATTGTAAAGGAAATATGTTTTACATCAGCCAATAATTGCTGAGAGGTTTTCTCATCCTCCCTTCTCTCATGACAACACGTTCATTGTGCGTCTTGAGTAACGCGCAGTGACGGGATGTCGGAAATGATAACGGCGTTATAGTTACTGTCAAAGTAATTAGTAAGATTACTCGTTACTGAAAAAAGTAACGGCGTTAGTAACTTATTATTCCCATCACTGGTGATACGTGCATGTAAAATTAGACTGGAGAGTTTTGTTCAAAATGTGGAGAGTGCAGTTCTTTCCTAAATCCTAATCCTCCTTTATACCTTTAAATACATTCTGTTTTATAATTACAAGAAACAGTGGGTGTTGGTGTTCTTCAAGGGCAACACATGAACATCGGAAAAACTGAAACTGACCTATTGGATTCTCTGATCTGTTGTTTGCAAATCAACAACTTTGTAAAGTCCTCCGAGATGACTTCAGTTGTGATTTAGTTCAGCAAAAATTGAATTGAATTGAACTACATGGGATGAGCCAACACCTTTCGTCAAACGTATCTGCGTCAGGACACACATTGTTTGAAAAGGATGAAATACATTTGGAAATGTATTTGCTAATTATGGAGGACATTTCATGTATTTCAGAAACGGTTATTTATCAACATTATTGAATAAAAGTAAAAAATGTAAACAGCATTGTATATTTGTTATTACGAGATGAATGCACTGAGTACCATAGAAGAAGCAACTGTTTGATCACGAATCCTCTAACCACACCCAGGCAGAGATGTTGTTGCCATACTAATAGTTAAAGCATGCCACACACATTGGCGTTGTGGTAATTCGAGCATCAGAATGGACTGTAGATAATTGATTTCCATCGTTGCACATGCACTCAGCTAAAAGCTTATTTGTGAATGTGCAAGCTGAATAGAAGACTAGATTCCATGTTTTGCTGGTGTCGCTCAGTCTGCAGAATGACTGATCACTTTTGAGTTTGGCGGCTGACATTGAAATCTCAGTGACTGTAATTTGTTCCCTTTAGATGTGTTTGTTTTGTTTCTGACAGACTCTGTGAAATGAAACTGTCAGCCACGACAACACACTTTGAACATGAACGCTCTCATTTGAACGAAGGCTGCAGATGACGTCTGACAATGTGCTCCTGCTAACTCCTGAAAGATCTATATTATTGGCACTCTTTTGGGATTTTTTGGGATGTGATGGTATTTTTGAGTTGTATTAAGATTCACTTGCAAGTACAAACTTACAGTATCTATGTTGTAATTTTTTTCATTACAAGCCTGGTCATTTTGTTGCAAAAATATACCAGAGTTCATCCCCTTCTTCTTTCCATCGCCTCCATCCCTCACTCGCCTCTCTGCCTCCATCCCTCTCCTGTATTAAAACTTAAGATTTGACACAAGATGGACGCAGTGGACAGCCGGGCCCAGGGGACAGCACCGGGGTTGCATATGAGGCGTCCGCTACTGAAAGGGCCATTTACATTTCTCTCCGTGCGTTCTCCTTGACAGCGACACAATTTCCTGTTCCGTCTGGCGAGCTTCTGACTGCGAGCTGGGGACTGAAATGTAATCTTTGGGGCTTGCGGCGCGCTCGGCCTCCCAAGAGTATTCTCCAACCAAACCCTTGAACTCTGCTCTGGTAATCTTTTATTCCTGGACCTGTAGTGAGTTTTCTGCAATGCGGACCAGTTAATATCATGACTATGCGATTACTTCTGTATAGCTGTTAGGATTATGTCTTCCTCTAGTGTTCCAATTAGAGATTAAAGACACTAATAAATCTGTAGTGCCTGACTTTAATACCACAATAATAGACGAATAATAAAACAGACGTAAAATGTTCCTTGCTTTCAAATCTATTTGATCCTACGACTAGTTTTCATACGCTTGTATTTTTGGCCCCCATTGCATCATCAGTTTTTCCAGTGAAGAAGAGTACCAGCTCTCACTGAGACTATTAGCTCTCAGTATGATACTAATCTGTAAGGCAAGGTAAGTTTATTTGTATAGCCCAATTCATACACAAAGCAACTCAGTGCTGAACAAAACAAAATATGGTTTACCGTAAGTTTTCTAATAAAATGAAGAAAGCATATGGACTGTTTGGTTCACAACATGTTACTTAATCAAGACTCTTAATGTTGGGACAAACAAAATGTATTTATGAAACAATAAAAAAGTACTCCAGCTATGAATGTATAAAGCATATCGAAGCTATAAGTAACATAAGTTCTTAGGCACTTTAATGAAGCAATCCTCATCCGGTTTTCAGTCTGCCAAATCTGCGACATTATCTGATCTGTTATATCATAAACGCAAAAAACTAAAAGTATTTGTGCAGTTAAAATTCTGTTTGTCACAACTGCATGCTTGTTTTAACCTAACTGTGTTACAAATGGCTTGTGTTTTGGATAGTAACCTCCACAGCTGCCACAACATACTAATGCTTACCAATGATCGTTTTCTTTTAATCCATGCTCAGTTTTTAACCCAGCACACAGCCACAAGTTTGAGAATGTGTATTTCTAGTTCTATACCACATTATCCTTCAAAACCATGGTATTTTTGGCCATTGTGATCATAGCATGAAAATCCCATCCCCTAGTTTCCATATTCTCCCAAGTTTTAATACATCCCCATCCATGCATGCCGGAAAAGATTGCCCAAAGAGAATGGCGGATTAGGTGTCGAGCAGTCTCCAGCGTGACCCGTCGGAGTGGCAGGGGAGCGCAGTGTTTGAGGTCAGCTTGATTTCTCAGGAGGATGGCTCTCCATGGAGTTCCAGTAACAAGGAAACACGCTCTATCTGCTGCCACTGTGATTTATGATGAGACAACAGATCAGGGTGCCAGACAGCCCAGCGCATTGTGACACACTGCACCGGATACTGCCCGGCTTGTTTGTGACAATGACGGCCACGGTTTGAATAGATGTGTGCCTTATCTGGGCTCTTGCGACGGATAAAATAGGCACTTGTGGAAGAGGATTTTGTGGTATGGGTACGTATATAGGGTGGAATATACTGTATGTATGTGATTATACCTTGTTACGATGGTGTTTCATGTATTGGTTCTTGCATGTTTGGGTAAAACTCTATTAAAGATGATTTTAAAACTTCCTTGCCCCACTTACTTTTCCTAATTTATCAGCTTTTCTGTATACAATTACAATACAATACAATACAATTTATTCTTGTATAGCCCTAGGTCACAACAGAAGTCATCTCAGAGGACTTAACAAAACCATTGAAATCACCAACACAGGTCAGAGAATCAACAGCCAAGACACATGGAGAATATAAAGCACACACAGAAGAAAATGTCCATACATGTTGTAGAATGCTAAAGTGTCCTGATCATCACCAATCCTTTCTGTTGGACACTAACTGTCCAACAAGACCCTCCTGCATCGACAAGGAAAAACTCTTAAAAAACCCAGTGGGAAAAAGTGAGAAACCTTGGGGAGCACTAGGGAAACCCACAGGGAGGGAGACCCATTTGAGAAAGGGATCCGCTCCTTCGGACGGACAGGCTAATGATCTAGGACCTAAGCTAGCTACAGAACGTGGACCAGTGGCCGCTGAACGTGGACAGGTCCGGTGCAGGGCCGAAGCACTACCAGGCGGGTCGGGCGGGGCAGTCCGCAGGTGCAGATGGAGGAGGCCAGGCTCAGAGATCCCGTCATCGTACCATGAAACAGACAATGGGACAACGGGTGAATAGCAATGAACAAACTACAGTCAGAATCCTAAAAGTGCTAAACAGATAAAGTAGATAAAGTAGGAAGGAGGAGAGGATAGTGCTCAAGTTACCATACTTCTCCCAGCAAACTGACTCCCTATGCAGCTTGACTAACACTCTGAGGAGTTTAACCTTCTCCGAGTCTTACCTTCCTAGCCATATGCTAAACTAAAGAGGACTGTTTTAAACCTAGCCTTGAATAAAGAGATTCATGGATTGCACACCAGGTGTGCAAACCGATCCAAGCAAACCTAATTATATATTATATATCATATACATCATATATACCATACATACCATATATATCATAAATAATACACAACATAACATACAGCATAATATATAACATAATATACAACATAACACAATACATTATTGTATAATATATAACATAATATATAACATAATACAGCATACATATATAATATATACACCATATATTATATATTACCTAATTATATGCTAAATTAAAGTAAAGTGCTTTAAGCCTGGCCTTGAATGTGGAGACCGTATCTGCTTCCTTAACATAAATGGGAAGCTGATTCCACAGTAAAGGAGCTTGGTAGCTAAATGCTCTGCCACCAACAGTGACCTTTGAGACCTTAGGGACCACGAGACGTCTGGCGTTTTGTGAGCGCAACGCTCGACTTGGTTGATACGACACTAACGTGTCTTGGAGATAAGAAGGAGCCAAGCCATTTATGGCTTTATATGTTAAAGGTATACAGGAGGATTTTCCCGAATTTTAGGAAAGAACCGCCCTCTCCACATTTCGAAAAAATGCACATGCGCAACGCTCTACCTGCTCCCGAGAGGGAACGCCTACTAAAACGTGTGCGAGAGACATGCACGAGCCCAGTTCTCCTCGTGCACGCTCTGTTCACAAGTCACTGTCAGCATCGCTCACACAAGCTCACTTTCCAAGAAGATTAGCACTTTATCCACAATGTCAGACTCGCCACCGGTAAGTGAAAATCTATTACAACAAGCACTTTTTTTTTTAAAAGAATATGTGTAAAGCCAATCGTAATCAGGGATTGTGAATAACAATGTTTTAGTGTCTATGTAGCGTTACGAGCATCTCTACAGCTAACTTTATCATGCTACTGGCTAATAAACAAGCTATCATTTAGCATCTAAATAGTTTTATTTCATTTGTCTGTTTAGAGCTTTCAAGAGGACAGTCTTGTGGGATCAGATATGGACTACGAGCCCGTTCCCTGTGCATCCCGACCAAGATCCAGGAGGGGGGGTGCGCCTAGAGGCCGCGGGAGACGAGCTCCGAGCGCAAGACCTCCAAGAGCCAGCACCAGCCAAGAGCAAGGAGAGAGAGGGGGAGGCAGGGGTCGGGCTAGAGCCCGTGGCCGTCTGCTAGGTGACCTGTCACGGGAGGACTTCAAAAGGGTTGAAGAACTTCATAAACAGAGGATTGCAATTGAGGAGGTATGTGTACATATATAACCGCTAACGTGTCATTTTTTGTTGCAAAATACGTCAAAGGCTAACTTACAAACTCTATTAGTGCAAAGCATTACTATTGTTATTGTAACATTACTGGTCCAGGGTGTCAGACAGACAGTGATCTTTCCTTTTGTTATTGTAATGCTCCCTCATACATTGCGAGGCAGACAGTGAACACACTCAAATGTATGGAGTGAATGTACTGTACTTATTCTTTTATTAGAAAAAGTTTACACAGTTTGCCTGTTCAATGGTTTAGTTGAAAGCTGTATGTGTCAAAGGGGCTAAAAAGAACATTTTGTGATTTTGTTTTAACAGGCTAGGATAAAGAGACTGACATTAGAGGAGTGTCAACAACTTCTACAAAGATGCCTCAGTCGTGAACCGAGTCTCATCTTTGACCTGATGAGTCTCACCCCTGATCCCCCTCCACCAGGACCTCCTAATCCACAGGCACCCAACTGGTGTGTCTGTAGAAACTGCAGAAATATGCCAACACTGCTGGAACAGAAATGCTGTCAACAACAACCACAAAACTGCACATCACTGTTGCCACACATGGAGCTGTACATCTTGGAGGAAGGTGTGCTTAGACTAGCCAGGCGAATCTGGAATGACCTTAGGGCAGAAGTGGACATCCAGGAGTCAGGAGAAAGTCACAGACAGTTCCGCTATGCTGCATATAGGAACTTTATTGTCTGGCAATATGGTGTTCTGGGACCTGGAGTTAGAATTGTTATAGCGTCATGTTGTGTGTGGAAAATTAGAGATCGTTTCCCAGATCCTAATGGCAATTACGTAGGCTTTATTCCGGCCAGAGTGTAAACCTATTGTGTACTTGCAGTAATTCTTTATTGTGCTTTATTCCAAGATGCCTCTGCAGCTGAACTTGCACCCTAAAATAAGCTGGATCAATACATGTGTATTTTACGCTAAAATGTTATTGCATTAATATTTTTTGATATGTTGATAATAAAGTGTCTTACACAGCATATCTTTTCCCTCCATGTACTTCCATTGAGTTTCCCATACCTTTTAATATTTGAAAGTGGCTTTAGAAAGTTCACAAAGGACAAAAGTTTATGTAGGCTTGTACAGTTGTGCTCCAAAGTTTATATACCCTGGCAGAATGTTTTTACTATTTTTCAAAGAATATGAAAACAAAGGTTCAGTGGTTGTGTGAAGCCACTTATGGTGAATCAGTGTTTGCTCTTAATCAGAATAAAAAAATACCAAAATGACCCTGATCAAAAGTTTACACATTATTAGGAACAGGGGTGTGTATTTCCCCTTTAGCATCAATGACAGCTTGGTCTTCTGTGGTCATTGTGGAGAAGTTTCTGTATAATCTAATGGTAAACCGGCCCATTCTTTATCATAAACCTGTGAGCACAACTGTATGTGATAACGGTTTAGAACTTACATGTACAAATATAAAACACAATTTATCTGAGAAAACCATCGTTTTATTTGCTCAAAAGTATAAACTTGTATACCATTTTTAAATACATGACATACATTCACCAGAAAAATGATTTGCGCATCATGTACAGGGGAAATGAAGCACACGTATGGCCCCCTTCATATGTAACTAAAGCTCCAAAGTCACTCTTTTCAAGCACCACATCTACAGGTCATGTGTGAGATGGTTGACCTTTAAAAAAAACAAACATAGGTTTACATATCAGTACCTTTTAGGTATAAAAAAAGATTAAACAATCTCATGTAACTGCAGCATACACTGTAGAGGGTTTAATTCAACAAAATAAGGCACTTGACTCAAATACAACTCACCTAGCCCTCGGCGGGCTTTCTTTTCCTTCAATTCTTGTACTGTTGGGGCAGGGCCACCAGACAACAGCCCCAGCCTTCGTGGATCATCAAGTGCAACAGGCTGCTTTCCTGCCATCCCCCTAGGAGCCAACAGTCTTGAATGGAGAATGACACTCTGTAGATCTGGAATGTACTTGTAGGTTTTTGGGTTCTTGATGGTGTACAGCCGCCACATCTTCGATCTTTTGTTAAAAATTCTGCCATACCTTGGATGAGTAAACCAAAACATATCAATATTGCCATTGCGTGCATAGTATAACTTATGGATTGTAGATCAGCAGTGATAAGAAACTTACTGATATGAGCCATCTGCATTTGTTCGTGCACCTCGGTTTAGGTGGAAGTTATAATCCAGCCCTGCCAACAGGGTCCGAGCATAGTACACTGGTGGTTTGAAGCAGAAGCGCTTTGAGGCATACATAAGTATGTGGTTATGGAAGGACTCCAGGTCTGAGGTTGATCTATAAAACAAAAATTAAGAAGCAAATAAGACAATATGTGAACCTGGCAGCTTCCAAAATTTGATAAAAGACGCCTTTTGGTGGTTTGGAATGCAATTGCACTACTAAAATGTCTACCTGAAAGAGAGATACTTGGGTATATTTTTCAACCAGCGTGCATCATAAACGATCTTTTGGAGTCTTCCATGTGCTGCAGAGCCCTTTGGAATCCATTCTTTATTCCTGTCTTCCTCCAAAGGACCATGTCGACAAGCCCCAAAGTACCACTCATGTTTGCCAGTCACATGATGCAGAACTCCTGTCCAAAGATCCTGTAATCACATTTTTCACTCAGTAAATCATGCGTACTATAAAAAACATTTGTCAAACACCCTTTACACATTAGTATACTCTAATTGTGTAGAAATATATACAGTAGATAAAAACTTACGTTGAACGCTTCATAGGTCTCTGCTTCCTTACAGCTGTACCAAAAATGATTGCAAATGTCTCTGTTCCAACTCAGAAGCAGTGCACAGTCCTTCTCATGTCCGGCCTAAAATAATTGTATTGGAATAAAATAATAGTTTTTTTGCCAGAGGTAAGAAAACGTATAAATAACAGTATACATACAGCCAGAATCTTTTTACTTAGGTTCTTTGCACCATGCCAGATATCCAAACTGTGTTTCACACCACAGTCTTTGTATTGGCCACTGTCTGTAAAACATCAAAGCATTATTATTATTCATTGAACATCAAACTTGTCTATATGTAACTAATATTGCAGAAAGCCACGTACTAAAAAGTGCTGATATTTGAATATTAGCATCAGTGCAAAATTCCGTCACATTCCCCAACTTTGGACGGAGCGTGTCCAAGGTCTCCATGAATGTTGCCTTCTCCATAGCTACAGAGTTCCCTCCGACCTGTCGTTTGTCCATATTGACAATCGACACAATACTTTTTGTGTCGTTCTCCATAGTGGTGTATGTGCAGAATTCAGCACAGAACCCAGGACTGTCCATCCTAGCATCACCTTATAATGACAAATATAAATGGATTAAATTTTTTTTTTTAAATGTATAAACAATAACGACAATAATATTGTAAGTTGCAGAGATATTATATACTAACCAAGGAGCACAACAGAGTCCTTTGAACTCAACTGGCTGATGACATTGCTACTCTCCCTCTTCCAAAAATCTTCAATGTTCGACAGACAAAATTTGGTTTGGATTTTGTAGAATGTTGTTGGGTCTATCATCCCCAAGTTCATAAACTTGAAGAGCAGAGCTATTTTCCGGAAGTTGTTACCAGACAGGAGGATGTTTATACCCAACATAAAATCCCCAGCGAGCATTCCATATTTGAAATATCGCTGTGAACTCCACTTCCAAACCGTGTGACCATTTGGACATATCTGTAAGAGTGCAAGTGTTGAGAGCCACTGAAGAAAATGCCACTATTGAAATGATTGTGAGCTTCAAATGTAAACATATGATACTCACCCATTCCGCAATGACTGCAGAGCACCTTGATTTTACAGAAACCTCAAATGGCTTAGCTGCATTACAGGGTGCCTTTGTGATGGAATTCTTCACTGTGCATTTTTCAATTGGAAGAATAAGGAAGTCCAGCAACTGCTTAATAATGTCATGATAGACTATGGATGCGGGCCGGCCGATTAAGTCTTCCTCTGTGAGGACCATCGGTGCGTCTGGTGGTGTGGCCACTTCCTGGCTTTCATCTTCATTATCTTCCGGGTCATCGTGCACAGTCTGATCAAGGCCAATCACAGGATAATCCTCTAACGACAGTCCATTTGGGAGAGCAACACCAGACCTGCAAATGTAAAGAAAAAGATGTCTCACACATCACCCAAAGAACAAAAGCTTCTGCCAGTCACTCCGGTGCTAATTAACATTAGTATGGCAGCTTTCCACACATTCCAATGGTTCAGCATGGGATGACCTAAACAATACAGAGCTATTACAATTCAATAGGATGCTGGGGACAGAGACATTACATTTCCATGTGTTGAAGACACCGCCCGGAATGTCAGACAGACCTTTCCAACACCTACAAAGGGTTTTACATACAGGTGATAGCTCTAGTAGCAGTTGCGCGTTTTGTTCATCTTTATTGCTTTCAGAGATTGCAGGAAGACGTTCTTTTGGAAATGCAACAATAAGGTTTACCCCAAAGAAAATAGTATTATGAAAAAGAAAAAAACTTTCAAGCATCAACATATTTTCCATTACAAAATGATAATAATAATAATAATAATAATAATAATACCTTATGCAAATATGAGGACCCAGGTCTTCTTCTTCATCCACATCAGCGGGGGTTTCACTGGTCTCATCATCTTCATAGAAATCTACCTCCTCGGTCTCATCTTCTTCTGAGGATGACTGTGATTGTGTCTCTGTATCCGGAGTCCAAGTTTCATCCCATGTATCGTCATCCCAGTCAATCCTTTTGAATAAAGTAATTTTAGTGCCCCCTTCAGTACCATCCCAAATATATCCCTAAAACAATAATACTTACATTGAATTGTGAAGATTGTTGAAGGCATCTTCATCAATGTCAACTATATTTAAACTAGTTGAGGCCCTAGAAAAAATATTCAGTAAATT